TATTCTGTTATTTTAGATTTATAATTACTAAAAGATGCTCCTTGATGAGGAGGTGGAGAGCTGGGGGGAAGTAGGCAAATCAAAGCAGACCTCCTTTCATGAACTGGGCCCCCTCTCCACTAATGGCACTATGTAGAAAACAGCGACAATTAAAAAGCTTTAGAAGAAGACATAGTATTTGTTATTGGTTGAATCGTGTTCCCCTCAGAAAAAGATGTTGAAGTCCTACCCCCAGGTACCAAGGAATGGAGCTTCTTTGGCAAGTAGAGTTGTTGCAGCTGTTGCTAGTTATGGTATGATCACACTCAAGTGGGGTGGGCTCCTAGTCCAGGGTGACTTCCTAAGGTGGCCATGAAATACAAGGAGAACACCACATGAGGATGACGGCAGAGACTGGATTAATAAAGCTACACACCAAGGAGCCCCAGGTTGCCAGCAAACCACTGCAAGCTGGGAAGAGGCAAGGAAGGAATCCTTTACAGGTTTCAGAGGGAGTGTGGCCCTACTGAAACCTTGATTTTGGACTTCCAGCCTCAAACTGTCAGATAGTAAGTTTCGGTTGCTTTAAGCTACCCACTTTGTGATGTTTTTATAGAAGCCTAATACAATACCCCCCTCCCCAGACTTTCAAAAATACATTGCTTCAGTGGCAGAAACTTTGATAAAATAAGGCAAGCAGGCAAACATTTACAAACACACCAGACCGTGAGAAAAATCACCTGTAGCCACACACTGCTTGTATCACAGTATCTCTTCTTAGATCCCTTGTCCTCCACCCACTGCCACCTTGACATCTGCCAGGGCTGGACATGATGTGAGCAGTGCACTCTCCATTCCATGGACTTCCTCACCCTTCAGGAAGCCCTTCCCAGGCCCCGGGGCGAGGGGAGTTGGGGGGTGTGGGAATCAGACCACAGGCGGGAAACTGGCCCTCTGTCACTGAGTCAACACACTTTCCAGCAACAATATCTGTCTAGTTTTCTACTTCTCTTTCCATCTAGTATTCAAATTCCGGAAACTGTGTATTTGTGGCATTCAACTCAGATTTTACAAAAAGAAGTCACTTCTCTAAGTGACAATACTATCGCCCAAGCCCTGATATTGATTCCACTCACAAGAAGATAACAAAGCGATGGGGCTCGATGCCCCTTTTCCTGCAGTCCTCCTGGGCTCCTAAGCACCAGCACCACTAGGGTGTGTGTGGGCAAATTTCCCTTCCAGCCCCAACCAGAAGCTGAAACTTCTTCCACCTGTTTGATGGGTTATGTACATTAGTAGAAGAGAAAAGTACACTGCAAGGTACTTCTAATAAAAGTTGCTGATCAAAAAACAAAACAAAACAAACACGACCACTAAATTAATTCCTTTAAGGAAATGTTATGGCTGGATACACCAAAACCTACATTTCTTTTTAGAAAACCTAACTAGGCTTCAAGATCTTCCAAATTCAACAAATATGTTAAGCATCTGCTGTGTACAAGGCTTTGTTGTATTCCCTGACTTAGGATGATAAAAAATGAATACGACACTGTATCATCAAGGAAACTACAATCTAGAACAGGAATAAGAAACACACATAAGAACTATTATGTAATTGTCATAAGGATTTATCTTTCATAACACTATGGAGCCAGTACGTAGCTTACTTCACCAAGACTAACAGCTTACTCATCAAGGCCAGCTGCAAGATCTCACTGCAGTATGCCCACAAAGTGCTGCGCCCAAAGCTCTCATATCATAAACTGCCCAGTCCCAACATCTGCTTTAAGATCATCCAGCCCAGGCCTGAAAACCTGAAGTCCTCCTTCTGAGACATGGCTAAGACTCAAGGTGATGTCCCTCCCTCACTGCAGTAAGCATAAAGAGTTTAGCTCTGTTCAAGCAACAGATTGTTCAGATGGTCTTTTCAGGATACAACAGTCGACACCCCTTCCGGCAGGAGGAACCCCTCTTATCTGGTATTCATCCATTCCATGTGGTTGAGCCTGAAGCTTTCCCTCCAAACCCCCATCTACGGTGGTTACCCTAGGGATGGACACATGACCTGAGCTGGTCCCATCAAAGTCCTGATAAGGAGTTTGGTACTTGGGATGGGATGTTCCAACTATCTAACACTGAAATACAGGACCAACTGAGTAAAGATGAGGGGTGGAATAGGTAGGATTCCCCATCATTATCCTTACGCGAGAAGCAGGGCAACTGATGATACTGCTCTATCTTGGGACTCAAACCCTTCAAGCCAGTTCTTTGGGAGAAATGACAGAAACACATCAGGATCTTGGAATTTGTTAGCTACTTCTCTTACTGAATGGCTTCAGTAAGGTATTTTAAGAAGGGCATAAGCTGCTGGCCACGCTAGCCCATTTGAAGGTATACAGAAAACAGCCAACAGCTCTGGTAGTCATAACAGCTCATGCTCACTGAGCGCTTCACATGGATTTCCTCATTCAATTTCCACAATAATTCCACAGAGTAGAGATAGTTGTCATCCCTACTTTACAGTTAAAAAACAAAAACAAGGGGCACCTGGGTGGCTCAGTCGTTAAGCGACTACCTTCGGCTCAGGTCATGATCCCAGGGTCCTGTGATCGAGTCCCGCATGGGGCTCCCTGCTCAGCAGGGAGTTCACTTCTACCTCTCTGTCTGCCCCTCTCTCCCTCCCCCTCCCCTCTGCTCGTGCATGCTCCCATGTACACGCTCTCTTTCTCAAAAAATTAAATTAAAAAAAACAATTAAAAAAAGGGGGGGGCGCCTGGGTGGCTCAGTCAGTAAGCAGCTGCCTTTGGCTCAGGTCATGGTCCCAGGGTCCTGGGATCGAGCCCCACATCAGGCTCCCTGCTCTGCGGGAAGCTTGCTTCTCCCTCTCCCACTCCCCCTGCTTGTGTTCCCTCTCTCGCTGTGTCTCTCTCTGTCAAATAAATAAATAAAATCTTTAAAAAAAAAACAAACAAAACAAAAACAAAAACAAACCCGAAGGCCCAGGGAGACGCAGTTACCTGACCAAGGCTATACAGCTAGAAAGTGGCAGAACTGGGAAGCTGACTCAGCCAGTCTTGCTCTGTTGCCCAGGCTTTTCACCCTTCTGCCTGCAGCCAGGCAATGGCAAAGGGTCAGATAATGTGTGCCTTGCAGAACTGCAAGAGCTAGAGCCTCTGTTTCCATCAAAGGTGCATGAACAAACAGGAAAATATAGCAGGACTGGGCCTTCGGAACAGGCAAAGAAACAGAGTGGGCAATCATGCCCAGAACCCCTCCCAAACACCTCCTGCCGCAAAGAGGCAAGCATTTCTATGAAAGCAGCATTCCTTGGGATGTACCCTGGCAAGGGCAGATCCCTATTGTTGTAGGTTTTCCCAAAGCTGAGGAAGAGATTGGAGCCATGAAGCTAAGGGTAAAGAGTATGGGCAGGAAGACAGATACCACAAAGATGGGCTTCAAGTTTAAAAAACCAGGCCCTACTAGATCTGGGCCTTTAGCCCACGGAGTTGCCAGAGATCAGATCTGCCAAGCTCTAACCGGGCTCTTAAAGGGGTTTTATCGCCAAGGAAATGTCAATGGCCTGCGAACAGAGGATCCCCCAGCCTCTACAGAAATTCTCAGGTTCTCTCCACACATCACCCCCTGCAATAACTGTTCCAATAGGAAGAGGGCTTCCACATGGGCACAGCACCCAGGCAGGCCTCCAGAACATCCTGCTGCAAGGCAGAAGCAAGGGTTCCCAGATTAGCTGACCAGGCACCGACTCCACCTTTGGAGCAGGGAACTCTCGCTAGCCCTTGCCTGCAGGAAGAAGTATACAGTTTGGACCAGTGACTGCCGTTTTTTCCTTCTCCCTTTTCCCAAATAGGAATGTGTGACCTGCAGTGCCTCAGGTTCCCCGATTGTAACGTGGGATAATATTTGTATTTACCACATGGGATTGTTGTGATGATGAAATCAGTTCAATTTTAAAAATGCTTAGAGTTCCTTACAGAGTAGGAGCTCAATTCATGCTGGGTGTGGTTGTTTTGGTGTGTCTTGGGTGTGCAGGAAATAATCTGAATTATTCATGATAGATTGTCAGAACTGAGCGGTCACCCGTGGGGATTCGGGATGGATATCCCCTGACAACCCTGGACTTGGGATGCGGTGAGCTGTGATGTCACCTTTGGATGCAGTGGCTGGATCTGATTTTTGACTGCTTCCCTTGGTGTAAAGGTGGGTATGTCAGGTTTCTTACAAGGTAGCAGTGCTGTTTTAAGTTGGATCATTCTTAAAATTGTACATATAAGGAGGGCATGTGTGGGCAGGTGGGTTCCTGCACGTGGGGCAATCAAAGGATGGAAGGGAATGGACATCTGTGGGATGTCATCTAGTAACTGAACCCCATTTTGTGATGCTGCCCTCCCAGCTACTCCCCGTGCCTCAAAAGAAGTTGTGGGGCATCTGGGTGGCACAGTTGGTGAAGCCTCCTACTCTTCCGTTTGGCTCAGGTTGTGATCTCAGGGTCATGAGACCGAGCCCCACATCGGGCTCTGCACTCAGTGGGGAATCCGCTTGGGATTCTCTCTCCTCTGTCCCTCTCTTCCCCCTCCCCCGTTCTCTCAAACAAATAAATAAATCTTAAAAAAAAAAAAAAAAAGGCAAGGAGTTGTGTGTTCCAGTTTTCCTGGAGTGATGGGTGCTTAAAGGAAACAGTGGGAAACATTAGAAAACAGGGTGGAACAGATCATGGTGGGCTGTAATTGCTGAATGGCTGGATTGAAACTGCAGAATTCTAAGGATTCAGAGATCCTCCTCCCAGATCCCTCTTCTCCAAACACTGAAGTCTCTCGCAACCTCTGTTACCCCATTTGGCCCATCGTCCAACAGGACTACCGCCTCTCTAGTTGGTTCCCGTATGCTAGTCCAGCCTTCCCAGTGAGTCAGGAGCCCCCCACCTGACGGACCCGTGTCCTCTCTGCTCTGCACAGCCCTGACCACACAGCTGGTACACGGTACCTAACGGACAACAATTTGGCTTGTTAAGATTTTGAACTATTTTATTTGAAGAGATGTTCTTCTATGGTTCTAGTTATAAATACAGAACAAATGCTATTTGAGTGAGTGCATCATAGGCATCATTGTATTTGAATGAATCATACCATAATGTTTACATTTTAAGCCACACTTGAAGACACAATACAACCTTTTTAACAAAGTGTCAGTCAAAACAAAACATAACTGTTCATTCTACAGACTATCAATTTTCCTAAAATGACCACTAGATATGAAAACATTGTAGAGACATCTAAAGAACCCCCTATTAAGATTTTTCTTAGAAAAATGATACAATAATGCAAATTACATTTTCCTTTTCTTTACTAGTAATAAACTATGACATCCATTTGAGAAAGTACCAGCCAACACTACCAAAGTCATCTCAGCGGCCTTTTGCTCCTCAAAATTGACCATCTTTTACATTTAACGTGTCCTAGAGGAATGGATAAAAATGGTTATATCAAGTGCAGAAGTTAGCATTATATCAACTGGTGTGTATTTTATATCGTGTTCCTAAATCAACACAAGAAAATGAAAAACAGCAAATATTCTTACATGAATGAAACATAAGGACAGAAAACCACCCTTGGATAGTGATCACACAGGCAACAACTGACTTTCAGTCAGGACTAGTGTCTTAATGACCACTTAGTAATGCTCTTTATGGAAGTGTTTTAAAGGCATACGTACAAACACACACGTGAACAGCTCGCCTCTCTCCCAACACTCACTTCCCTGACTTTGCTCCCCCTTCTCACGGGGTCAAGCTGCTGAGCCCTTAGCCAAATAGGCTGTGTGCCTAGTAATTCTCTTTAAAGCAGGTCACATACCACTTTTTTTTTTGAAAGATGAAGTACAGAGAAGACTATGAAAAGTAGTGAGAAAAAAAGCATACCATTAAAACAGAAACATAGGTTGTGATGTTCAAATTTAGAGAAAAGCTGGTTCATTAGAATTGTTAGTAGATCATGAAGCGGTCAGGACTGAAGAGGCGGCCGGGCCAGAGAGCCCCAGTATGCCTGACAAAGGTAGGCATCTTTGAGGACATGGGTTATAATGATTACGGCAAACATTTTTACAAGGCTGTAAGCTCTTCCAGATCAGGGGACGTGGTTCATTTACGTCTATATCCCTGGTTCTTAATACTGTCCTGCACACAACAGACTTTCAGTAAGTATTTCTGGGAACCAGGGAACGGAGCTGAATCAGCTCAGTGCTTTCAAAGCCATTCTGGGTGGTATCTACTCACCTAATTCATTCACTCCTCTGTCTAAGGCAGGATGAGAAATAGACTCCATTCATCTCACTCTCATGGATGGGCAATGGATGGCTGGCAGCATTGATGACATGGACTGTGAGACCAGTTCCTAGCACAGAGGAAAGGAGTACTACTCATTCATGATGCCACCATCAGAGGATGGAGGCACACACGTCACATAGCCCCCAGCCCTGGTCTAGGAAAGAGGCCTCCCGACAACGCACCCATGCTCCCTTCCTGTCACTACGCTGCCTCACGAGTGCTCCGCGCGAAGCCGCTGCTCATTAGACGCTGCTTGATCAAGAAGGCCAAGGCCTTTCCACTCGATTGACCTGTGTGGCCAAACAGATACGGCCATGACTTCACCTGGAAATCTGAAAACATGGCATCTACAACGCTCATTAAGTAATCCTTTACGGAAAGGAAACAAGCATTTCCTCCTAATTCCCTCTGGAGAGAAAGAGCTTTGGGCATCTCAGTACAACTTTAACTGACATCTAAGGCATTTGCAATTACTTGGGATTTTGGTTCAAAAAAACATGGCCAAGCTCAATTCTCTTTGGTATTCATGCTTAATCGATTTGTTTCTTAATAGAATCCATAACCTTCTCAGTACTTCATTGTTATGACTTAACTCACACTGTTGAAATAATCAACTCCTACACTTTCATCAGAAAAACTTTCAAGGATGCTAAGGGGAGAGGCCTCTGAAACCAAGGGTGTTAAGAAGAAAGCCTGAAAGAATGACAGGGAGAACCAACCTCCCTCTACCATTCCACACTCAGGACTCACTCTGCCACTCAGACCATTCTTCGTAAAATAGGTTGCTTCTGGCAAGGTGGCTCCCACTAGCAGGGGTCTTCCCGTTAACTCCCCTCGCCATAGTGGGAGGTTGGCACTCCTCAGAAGCATGTCAGAAAAGAAGGATGAAGCATTTAGAGAGAGGAAGAAAACAGAGGGATATTATCAAAGAGTACTATATTATACACCTGAAACTAATACAACACTGTATGTTAACTATACTGGAATTAAAATACACACTTAATTGGGGGAAAAAAAAAAAAAAAGCAAAGTCCTGGGGGATGACAGGGGATTTTCAAAACAACATTCCCTCATCATAGGTAGAGTCTTCACTACAACATTGGCACCAACATGAGAACAGAGCTAAATTAAAATTATCCTTAAAATGCCAACATAGCTGATGTGCACAGCAGGAAGCATGATGACCCAAACCCACAGATCTGTTCCTATTGCACATTCCACCTTGCCCAAGTACTGCTGGCAGTCCAGAGTAACAAAAACTTTGTTAGAAGTCTGTGTATCTTAGAGATATAATATGCCAGGACGCGCGTGCACGCACACTCACACGCGCACACACACATGCACGCACAGATAATAAGCACATATACACACACATCAAACCCGGTTTATAAAAAGAGCTTTGTGGATCAGAGTATGCCTTCACTTGGTCCAAGAATCTAATTGTTGGCATGAGGAAAACAGACCCAAAGAATGTAAGCAGGAAGAGAACTGGTTGGCAGCAACAATATTACATTTTATATGATGTGGTTATTTACAAGCTAAGGTCTAATTGTCCAGAACTAATTCAACTGGCTAGAATCTTCTGAATATACAAGGTTAAGCTTTAAAAAAAGTTAAGATCTGTAGCAACAAAAGTTAACACTATCTAAAATAAATTAGATTTTTAAATATATGCAGTGAAATTATAGGTCACTGGAAATTCAATTCCATAATGAATATAAATTAAGATAAATCTATTATTAAAGTACCATCCCCAAGAAGATTTCAGTTCAGAGTTTAAAAAAAAAAAAGGCTAAGTATTTGAGAATGAATGGGTATGGCTTAGAAACCCTTAAGTAGTATAAGTAGAGTAGTGATATGATTATTTGGTGACAAGATTCAAGAGCTGTCTCCAGGTCCACAATAAAGGCTTGCCTCAATTTACTTAATAGAAGTATTCCTGAAAAGTTGTGCAAATAGAATTTTTACAACCAGACCCTGAATTCCACTCTACTCGCAGGCCATGGTCGTCAAGAAACCCTGTAGAGACCTTGTGAGAACGTGGGGAACTCCGCTGAAGTGATCAACCTTCTGCACCACGTCTGCGCGGCAAATGCCTACAGGAGGTACTGGATAATGTCTGCGGGACACACAGATTTGCCACAATCGTTTTTTGTTGTTGTTCTGCGGACGTCTTAAAGTGAGGCGCACTGTCACTGGAAAGTTAGAGCAGAAGGATGGACTCTAGCTTCCAGCTTCACTGATTCCATTACAAAAGATCAGAGAAGTTCAGAAAGAATAACATTTCTGTAAGTACACATTTTTAAAGGGATGGAGCTAGGATTGGCAGAAGCTTTTTATTCATGTCAACTGACTTACTGACAACTGCTGGAGCTGGGTTCCATCTGATTCAATGACCGAGACAAGTTGAGCACCTTACCAAATTTCAAAGATACCCCCAGAGGCCATTCCTCTTCTACAAGAGCTCCTTCCCTCTCCAGCACCAAAGTTCCACAGCTATCCTCACCTTCCCTCATAAAAGCAAAGCATGAATTAAAAGGCTAAGATTAAATTAGAAAGATGCCCTGATCTAAAGGTGATAAAGTTATCTATTTTTACCTTATAAACAGAACTAAGTCAAATACAATCATTAAAAGTAACCTTAAAGGCAATTTTTGTTCTTATTTGGTCTTTCCTTCCCTTCCCATTTAAACCTAAGACTTGATTTCAAAAATATATATATATATCCATCCTTCTAAACAATATATCCTCTCTTTTAAACAATATGGAATGCCTAGCAATGCAACTTATCTGACCACATAAATTTGCAATCTACCACCTAAATGAAATAAGAGGTTACATCTGTCTATTCAGTACACATAATTGCAAAAAAGTTTGGAAAAATAGCTGAGAACGTTTTTAAGAAAGGTTCTGGGAGGACTGGATGCTTGCAAGGACTCACTGTAGGGCTCCATCATTGTAAGTTTCCTGGAAAGTAGTGTGCAAATAAAATAATTAAACATAGAACCCTATTTTTAAACCACTGGAAGTATATGTGGGTATGAATAGGGGAGAAAAGGGGTGAATGACAGTGTTAATATAGGTGTTTGTCAAGTAAATGAATAACAACAACAATAAAAATCTCTCCCTTAAGGTATTAATGATATTTCAAGTGACCTAAATAAAACGGATTTTAAAATGATCTTTACCATTCACGTCAACTATTGACTTTGGCCCTTTACTAAAGCAGACACAATGAATCTTCTTTTTGATGATCAGTTTCAGTCACTGGCCCAAGGGTACCATATTTGGAAGAAAATATTATCATGGATTTGCTCCCATCATTTAAAAATCAATAATTAAAAAAATAATAAAGTTGGTCTCTTTTCTCCACAAGTTTTCAAGTAATTAGTTCAAGTAAGCTTATTTACAGCTATTGTACATGTGACCTACTTCCACCCACGTTTTCCTCTTAGAAATCGGCCTCCCTGGAAATGGGACGCTACATTTTTTTTTTTTCTTTTTCTGCCTTGAACCAGGTTTCTTTTAAATCCTAAGTCAGTTCAGTCATGTTTCTGCTTTATTGGGCAGATAAAGAGAGGAGACCAGCAAGTTGTGTCCAAAGGCTGGGAAACGCCTGAATGCTTCCCAACTGTCTGAGAAGATGTTGTACTTGAGGAAAACTCGATGTTCCAGGCTGGTGGACAGGGTCACGTCTCTGCTCATGATGTAGATGCCGTCGTTGTGAAGCGCGCAAGTCAAGTTAAGACCCGATTTGGACGTGTTCTCTTTGAGGTAGAGCCACTGTCGCGTGACCGTGTTGTAGGACTGCACGGTGAGCATGTCCTCACTCTGGCTGCTCCTCCGGTTGGGTCCCAGCTCGTGCAGACAGCCGCCCACGATGTAGATGGTCTCCTCAACAGATACCATCTGCTGCTTGCGAATGTGGACATCACAGGTTTCCAAGAGGGTCCAGATGTCGGCCGAGGGGCAGTACTGCAGAATGTTCATGTTGCGGTCTGAAAGGAAGAAAGAAGCCAAATGAGGTCACAGCCACAAGGAACACCACTGCCCGTCTACGCTGTGATAAACATCTGCCCCCACCTGAATCATCTGGTCACACAGAGGCAAAACTATTCCAGAGAAGCAGAGGTTGGGACAACGGTTTTCCAAATGGCTGGGGGGAGATCTGTTTAGAATCATCCCCCTTATCCGCATCAGGCGTGTCCCCTCCCTGGGAGGCTCTCGGAATCAAGAGGGCCAGGCCACGGCCCGCTGTGATTGGAGCATTTTAGAACCACCAGTCCAAGGTAAAAAGAATCAGAGCCTTGGAACTCTCCTCAATAGCTCAGATTTACTGACTTCTTAATACAGATGACAGGCAGAGCCCCAAGGGGATCTACTCTTGACAACCGACTCTACTAAATAAGACAAGTGAGCCACGCGAGATCTTCAGGGGCTAGTGTAAAGGAAATAACACACAATTCCAAGTCAGGAGAAACCCCAGAAAGTCTCACCTGTGGCCTTCAAGCCGTGGAATCACTTGGCAATTCCATGTCCCAACTCTAACAGCAGAGACATACTCACAAAGGCCCCTCCCTCACTCCCCTCTCCCCGTGCCTGCTTCCCAAGAGATGGCTAGTTCTTGTGTGGATAAAATCAGAAAGTCGATCAAAGGCTCCTCTAACATTATCTTGAATTCATAGCTGCTTTAAGGAAAAATACTGCCTACTCTCGTTTTGAAAAAAACGCTCGTAAAATTTAAAATATCTAGTTTCATTTTTCCTTTTTTAATTGTTCTTTTTTATCCTCTTCTCCTCTAGGAAAGAATAAGTGGCATATTTTAGCCTCAGCAGAAGAAAAAAATGCTCTGAGTTATCAGAAAGAATGAACTTTCTGTTTGTCGCTGTTGTTTAAACAAACAACAAAATCCATCAGCGTAAGAGACAAGCCAGCTTGGGAACAGACGTGGAACTAAAGGGTACAACGCTTCCTCCTGACACAAAAGGACACACCCGAAGTTAGCAAGGCTGAAGGAGCTCCACCACCACTGCTGGTACCAAGTCAAGTGCCTCATAAGAGGGCACAGAAAGAACGGAAAGGAGACTGAACCCTGTGTGTGCACATGTCCCCATGCCTGTAGAAATTTCAGAATTGCTACAGCTTTAGGAAACTGTCCCTCTCTTTTCCACCCCCACTAATACCTCCCTGTATTTCTTTTTATTGTAGCTATTGTAATAGAACTCATTCCGGAGACAGTCCAAGGGAGTTTGGTTCCAATCGATCAAAAGGTGCTCCTTAGTAACCCGGCTTCCCACCACACGAATAAAGGACTTATTCTAGTGAGGCTTCCCTGTATTTCTCAGTTCCAGGTCTGAAGGTCTCCCCAGGTCTTCTGTAAATGTTTTCTCTCCTCACCCAACAAGGGCTCAGACCATGATGAGGTGGTTTGAGTTGGTGGAATAACCTTTTTGCTTTTACGTTGAGAGGTGATTCTGAACTTTAACAAATCACCCTTCTTCCCTTGAGTGGTTACTACTGCTTTCTATTGAATTTCTTTTAATTTCCTCAGTGCCTACTATGGAATTAATATAATCAAACAGCTACCATAAAAATCGTGAACTATTACTTCCTAAATTTTAAAAGTCTACCTAACTTAAGAAGTTAGCAGGCCAAGAACCCAACTTTGAGCCCTGCATTTTGTTTTATGACAATTATGATTCCTTATTTTAAATCCAGGTAACTATTAGGAAGTGCTGGAAAGATCCCACGCAGAAGAGGAGGGGTGTTTCAGAGTACAAGGAACTGTCCCGCCCTCTCATCTCAGAAAGCCCATTTTCAACCCTTACACAAACATCCATCCATCCACATCACCCAACCATCCCATCACAGGTATTTGGCTTGGGGAATCCGGGGCAGGAATCACCATGGGTGGCCCAAGTGAAGAAGGTACATTAATAGTGGCTTGAGAAACTAGAAAACACACAAGCAAGGGTTTTCCAGGTCAAATCTAAAGAACATTTGCTCAGCCAGGGTCATGGAAAAACTAGGAAATCTACCAGCAGAGTACTCCTTGGGTTACAGTGCTGCCTGTCAGTGCTTCCCAGCTCCTGGTCACAAGAGAAGCCAAGGGATATGTGTGCATTATGTCAGCCCACAGGGTGCATTCTGTGTTACAAAATCGAGGGAGGAATCAGAATTCTTAGAAATGTTCAAAAGCAAATAACTGTATTTACTTTCCTAGGAGCAGAGGCACACAGACACACAGAGGTACATACACACACAGCAATTCTCTGGGGGCTATGGTGTCGTTAAGCACATTAAGTTGACCACTGTACCCGAACACCAAAGTTGAAGGTAAAAGAAATGGCTGCTAGATCTCTCTCTCTCTCTTTTTTCAATTATTTGTCACCAAAAAAAGCTGGCAATTATCTTATCTTCAGTGGAAAGTCACTAGAGAGGGGCACGGGGAATAGCTCCACAGGGATGAAAACTTGAGGGCATTAAAAAAAAAAAAAGCTCACTGCTTCCCATGCACTCCTCCTGGTCACTGCCTCTCCTTAAATGCATAAACACAGCACTTGTACTGAGTTCAACAGTGGCCCCCCAAAAGATATGTCTATCCCCTAACCCCAAAACCTTTGACTGTGACCTTACTTGGAAAAAGGGGCTTTGAAGATGACATGAAGTTAAGGATCTCAACATGAGATCATCCTAGATTACCCAGGTGGGCTCTAAAATCCAATGAGGAATGTGTCTTTGTAAGACACAGAAGCGGAAAGGACAGAGGAGAAGATGCGTGAAGACGGAGGCAGAGCCTGGAGTGATGCGGCCACCAGCCAAGGAGCACCTCAAACCACCAAAGCTGGAAGAGGCAGGGAAGGATTGTCCCCCAGCACCTTCAGATGGGATGTGACCTCCCACACCTTGATTTCAGACTTCTGGCTTCTAGAAATCTGAGAGAACACACTTCTATTGTCTTGGGCCACCAAGCTGTGGTTGTTTGTTAAGTCAGCCCTAGGAAACTACACCACCACTCACCATCCTCCCCACCACAGCAACTGCTTAGAGATACTCTAAGAAGTGTTACTCAGGATCTTTTGCACACACAGTAAATCGGATGCTCATAAAACACTTGACATTTAACTTCCTCTAACATAAATCCCCCAAACAAGACACATTTGGTGAAAAGATTTTTTGGCACCTACACTCTACTAGCATGTGGATTTCTGTCCTTTACAAAGTTACCTATCAGCATCCTTTCTCCATACTTATTGTCAGCGGGGCTGGAGCTCTGTCCTCCCATGTTGTACCATAAAGGAGAGAGAGGTTATTTCACTATGTCAGATATAATGGTAACTCTACTACCTCAATGTGATTAAAAAGTCCTAAGAGTCCTGTTATACCTTTTCTATAAGTTCTGGGCATTTTACAGTCAGATAAACCAAATGAAGAAATAAATTTCTTTGGCCAAGGGGCGCCTGGGTGGCTCAGTCAGTTAAGCGTCTGCCTTCGGCTCAGGTCATGATCCCAGAGTCCTGGGATCGAGCCCCGCATCAGGCTCCCTGCTCCGCAGGAAGCCTGCTTCTCCCTCTCCCACTCCCCCTGTTTGTGCTCCCTCTCTCGCTGTGTCTCTCTCTGTCAAATAAATAAATAAAATCTTTTTAAAAAATTAAAAGAATAAATTTCTTTGGCTAAGAGGTAACTTGGACACAAGCGGGGGAGAGAGATAAAAGGAAAGACACACCTCTTCCTGGTGGCCCACCCCTGCCTTTCTCAACACAACCAAGCTGTTTATTATCACTATCACGTGAGATGCTTCCTACCAAGAACGGCAGTATAAAACCTACTGGAGAAACTTATTTCCAAATTATTAATACCAAATACCCACCAAAAAAAGTACAGTTTAATAAATAAGACAACCGCCTCCCACCTCTGGTCAGGAAAGAATTCTCTTACATTCATGTCTCTTATAATCCTCTTAGGATATGTGAACAACAGCCTTGAGCTGAGTTTCTGGAAACTGTCTGATATGTTTGTGCTCAAGAAGGAAGAAAGTGAAAACAAAGATCCACAAGGATGTTCTAGCCCTAAATTCCATAGTGTTAAATGTGTTTGGGAGAAGGATGGCAGTTACCCAGTCAAGTCACAAGACAGCTGGTCACAAGGCTGAGTTTCCAGAGCAGAAAGAAAATACATATTCTCTTCATAGCATCCTCTACCCCGTTCAATTTTCATGCTCACACAAAGGCATCAAAGGTCCCTCCTGTCCAAACCACCCCTGTAATACACAACTCTCTTCCTTCCAGATATGTAAATATCCAGTATATAATGTATGAAGTTACAATATGTACACCAGAGTGTTTCCTTGGCACCCTCCTGCCCTTCCCCAGGCTGCAGAAGCTCACATAGAAGAGGATCACTTACTTGGCCCCTTCACTTACCTCTGGTGGTATATCCTCCAATGACGTAAATTTTTCCCTTACACTCACACGCAGAGAACTCAGCCAAAGGATTTGGTAAGGGTGCCACAAAATTCCAGGCATCCTGCTCAGGATTGTAACACTCAACATTAGAAACGGCCTGCCCACCAATGGCATAGAGTTTTGAATTAACAGCCACAAGTTTGAAGTTAGACCTGAAAGAGAGATACAAAGGCCCAGAGAGTCAGTTTTTTTAACTTGACATTTTCTTGACTTGACATTGACTTGACATTTTTGACTTGACAAGAAGGCAATGGCATGAACTGCTAAAGCAGATTGAGGAATGTGCTGGATATCTAAAGAAAATTAGCTCTCCAAGTTGGGTGCCATTCTGCCTGGGGACAGAGGAATGACCAAATGATACCTCAAATTTCACTCCTACCCTAGAATTCACAAGAATGATGCATTTTCCAAATTTTAGCAATTGGAGATAAGCAATTCAATATAACCAAGAGTAGTCTTGCTTAGCCTTATGCCAAGAACCACAGATATTCTGTATATAGTAGGCTTAATATTTCTTTCAGCAGTGGGAGCAAGTGCTAAGGGAAGAATGCATAACCACCTCCCTCCCTTGTGTCTCTACTCAGAATGTTCCCCATTCTTCCTACCTAGTGGGTAGGCTCTGTGTTAGATACACACTATAGCACCTCCTACACAGACAGGCATATGCTAAGGGTGGTTGCTAAGGGGTAGTTCAAAGACCCCTTCACCACAAGCATACCAGGCAGATCACTCGCCCCCCACCCGCCCCCACTCCATAGGAGGGCATCTTTATATTGTTTCACAACACACAACATAGGGCTACATAAGCACTGAACTAAACATATTTTGATCCAGCACTCTTAGGGGGTCTACACATGTTAACTCAACAAATACTTAAATCAACAAATGCTCATTTATCATAATAGAAAATAATTTTAGGGGCGCCTGGGTGGCTCAGTCTGTTGAGCGTCTGCCTTCAGCTCAGGTCATGATCCCAGGGTCCTGGGATGGAGCCCCATGTTAGACTCCCTGCTTAGCAGGGAGTCTGCTTTTCCCCCTCCTTCCTGCTCATGCTCTCTTTCGCTATCTCTGTCTCTCTCAAAAAAATAAAGAAAATAATTTTAAAAAGAGAATACACTGGTTTTAAGCCCCATATTCAGTAATACAATTAAACACTGCTCATCAGCTTCAGATGCTAGATTAAAGTCTCATAACTTTTGAATTGAAAAGAAAAAAATTAATTTGTTTCAATGTAGTGCACAGAGATTAATGGACTCCTTGAAGACTAGACAGGATACACATTTGGGCCAGTCTCCCTGATCGGTGCAGCAGTCCCAAGTTTACAGGACTGTGAGCAGAGCACGATGCAACAGAAAGACCTGAAGCAGCTCTCTGACCCTAGCCCAAACACCCCACTTTGCCATTGCTGGTATGGGGATAATACCCATCACAGGATGGTCAAGACAATTACAGCCAACAGTTTATCAGTAAGTACTACACTGAGATAAGATACTATCAAGGTAATTTCTCAGTTTTCTAGTGTTTGAAATAAAGAAAGTAGACCAGGTAAATTTTAGAGACCACATCTACTGCCAATACAACAATGTCTTCAAAAGTAACAATATCCTAAGAAAGAATGGGGGTAGAGGCCATATATGCACTTAAGAGGGTAGATAAGGAAGAAACAGGGAATGAGTCGTCCATGTGTGATCTCCTAATGGGTGTCCAATCCCACTGATGCACAATGACGTAGGACATGCTGGGAATAGCCACCTACTAAAACAGTAAGATGTTTTCAAAGGTGCCTGTAATGTGTACATTTAAATGAGTCTCAGTTTTGTTTTGTTTTTCAAATCAGAGAGTGAACAGAGCACTCTTCAACAAGAACCTCATATTGTCCATTAAACCTAGCCAGACATTCATATTTCATGCCAACAGACTTCGCTGGGGTGGCAGTTACTGGGGGGTCTCTGCTTCATGTTGCTTACTTTTCCTGCTGCCAATGGTCCTTAAAATCTGACCATGGTGCCCTCTCTGTGTGTGCAAATTTGGGGAACCAAAGGAAATAAAGCTTACAAATAAGCACTAAATTTTACCAGCCCGCTATTTGTTTTTGCTCCCCAAAGGTACACAGATAGTAAATTTTGTAAGATCAAAACAGTTTTTAATATTCATCCAGCATAATCATTTGTCCTAAGTAAACATGTAAGGGCTGGATGAATAGGCAGTTAAAAGTAAACAATTCCATCTCTCCAGACCCCAGCATGCTCAAATTCACTTGAAGAGAAGCAGCTTTTCAATATTGAGTTGAAGATGAAATTGCCACCCCAAAACAGACCACTTAGTGAAGAGGCATACTGCTAAGGATTATGAGCCCAGGCTTATACAGGGAAATCTCAGCTCCACTACCCAACTGTTATGTGACCTTGGACAAGTCACTGAATCTCAGTTCATCTGAGACTAAGTTTCCCTATCTGTGAAGTGGGGAAAAGCACCTATCACACACAGTAAGAGTTGAAAAGGGGAACACTTGCAGAAAGGGGTCACGAGAGGAAATGCTTTTCTACACGTCATAAGCCTCAGTTTCTTAACTCTGAGAGGGTCTGTTTTTCATTTGTTAACTGCAACAGTCACTGGCTAGAATGTATTCTGAATTACATACAAAGTGTTCTCTCATCCATAAATTCTCACCATGTAGCACCTCATTTCCTACTTTCTGAAAATAACTCTTTCACTCTTCACCTCCTGAATGGTGAAAGTATCAATCCAAGCTATTGTTTTTTTTAAAAAATTATCATCTCTAGTGTGTTTTTTTTTTTTTTTAAAGATTTTATTTATTTATTTGAGACAGAGAGAATGAGATACAGAGAGCATGAGAGGGAGGAGGGTCAGA